TAACAATCAGCCAGCGGGGTCCATAGTAAGGCAGCTGTCTCCCGAGGAGGTCAAGCGGCGGCGTGAGAAGGGTCTTTGTTTTAAGTGTGAGGAGAAGTTCACTCCTGGGCATCAATGCAAGCAAGCCTTTGTCATTGAGGTGGCCAACCCAGACGACAAGGAGGATGAGGTCGAGGAGAAACCGCCTCAGGAGGACGAGATTGAGGCTTTCAGTGAGGAGCCCGAAATTTCGATGCATGCAGTGGCAGGAATCAGAGGACCAAGGACAATGCGACTACCCGCATGGGTCAAAGATCGGAGAGTAATGGTGCTCGTGGACAACGGTTCGTCGCATAACTTCATCAATGCTGACTTATCTCAAAAGTTGAAATTACCAACCTCAAAGATCGAGCCCTTTGAGGTACGCGTGGCCAATGGAGAGAGGTTGCAATGCACTGAATCTTTTCGAAAGGTGCCAATCAAGTTCCAAGGAGTCACGGTAAAGGCCGATCTGTATGCTTTACCCCTAGTTGGGCCTGACGTAGTACTGGGAGTTCAATGGCTCGAAGGTCTAGGCAAGGTGACGACCGACTATCGAACAGGAATTATGGAGTTCAACTCCGAAGGTCGCCTGGTCACCCTCAGCACCGGCAATGAGAAAGGAACTAAGGAATTAGGGCTGAAGAGCATTGAAAGAGTTTGGCAAGGTGGAGGCCAAATTTTTGCAGTAATAGTTTAGGACGTGGGAGCACACTCGAACAAGGACGCACAACAACAGGGAGATGTGCGTGAGCTTCTCGAAGAGTTTGAAGGAGTACTGGGCGAGCCCAAAGGACTACCACCGCACCGAGAGTTCGATCATCGCATACCATTGGTCAATGAACAACATGCCATTCATGTCCACCCCTATAGGTATGCTCACTTTCAGAAAACCGAGATCGAACGACAGGTGGCTGAGATGCTTGAATCAGGACTCATACAGCATAGCAAGAGTCCGTTTTCTTCTCCAGTCTTGTTAGCCAAAAAGAAAGACGGCACGTGGAGGTTCTGTACTGATTACCGAGCCCTAAACTCTGCAACCATCAAGGACCGGTTTCCCATTCCAAGTGTTGATGACATGCTTGATGAGTTAGCAGGGTCGCGATATTTCTCTAAACTTGATCTACGAGCTGGTTATCATCAGATTCGGCTCCACGAAGCCGACATTCCCAAGACGGCCTTTCGTACACACCAGGGGCACTATGAGTATCTGGTTATGCCATTCGGCTTATGCAACGCCCCATCCAGTTTCCAGTTCGCCATGAACTCTATCTTCAAAGAATATCTGCGTAAGTTCGTTTTGGTATTCTTTGATGATATCCTAATCTACTCGAAATCGTGGGGCGAACATCTTGGGCATCTAAGGATAGTTCTCGAAATTTTGGAGGCCAACTCATTCCACATCAAACCGTCCAAATGTTCATTCGGGCAGGAGATGGTTGAATATCTTGGTCATTTCATATCACATGACGGTGTGAAAGTCGATCCGCGAAAGATTGAGGCTATGGTCGATTGGCTTAAACCAACAAGTCTCACGCAGTTGAGAGGATTCCTCGGACTCACGGGCTATTACCAGAAGTTCGTAAAAGATTATGGAACCATCGCCAAACCACTGACAGCCATGACTAAGAAAGGCGGGTTCACATGGACCGAAGCTAGCGAGAAGGTGTTTGAGAAATTAAAAGAAGCTATGACGACAACGCCAGTACTCGCCATGCCCAGATTTGATGTCTTGTTCGAGGTACACACCGATGCGAGTGACATTGGAATTGGGGCTGTGTTAGTGCAAGAGGGGCAACCCCTAGCCTATCTCAGCAAGGCACTAGGCACTACTCGGTTAGGTATGTCAGTGTACGTGAAAGAGATGCTAGCGGTTGTCGAGGCTGTACGTTGCTGGAGGCCTTATCTACTAGGTCAACGATTTCAGATTGTTACCGACCAGCAACCGCTGAAGCACCTGTTGGAGCAAAGGATTGTTACCCCCGAGCAACAGAAGTTCGTGTCTAAACTTATGGGGTTTGACTTCGAGATAATCTATCGACCAGGTCGACAGAACGCAGTGGCCGACGCGCTATCCCGACGAACAGACGTGGCCGAGTTGAGTGCGATCACTGGGCCTACTTGGGCCATTTGGGAAGAGACCAGGAAGGCGCAAGTAGAGGATACCCATTGCCAGGAGCTGCGCCAATCAATAGAGGCTGGTAAGACGACTGCTATCGATTACGAGTTGCATAACGGACTACTTCTACACCGAGGTAGAGTCTATGTCCCCGACCGTGGGCAGTTGCGCGAGCAGATATTGCAGCACTTCCATGACTCTAAGGTTGGAGGCCACTCAGGTATCTATCGCACGTGGATGAGAATAGCCCACACTTTCTTCTGGTCGGGACAGCAAGGTACCATCCGAGACTACATCGCACGATGTGACGATTGTCAGCGTACTAAGTCTGACTCGCGACGGCCAAGTGGGCTATTGCAACCACTGCCAGTACCCGAGGCAATTTGGGAAGACATCACCATGGATTTCATCGAGGGGCTACCAAATTCTAATGGGTTTGACGGTGTTATGGTTGTGGTGGACCGTCTCACGAAGTACGCTCACTTCATGCCCATCACACATCCTTACACCGCAAATTCGATTGCCAGGTTATTCGTGGAGTATGTGATGAAACTGCATGGGGCACCTCGATCTATCGTCTCTGACCGAGATCGGATTTTTATGAGCAGTTTTTGGTCTGAATTCTTCAAGTT